CCGTAGATACTCTTGATCTTTCATGGGTTTGGAAATTTGCATCCCTCTGAATCATGATTGGTCGATATTAAGGGTGTAAAATGGGCGGGTCGGGCTGATTTTGAATAGGTTAAAATGGGCTGAGTTTATAAAATGGGCCGGTCAATGAGCCGTCCCAAAATTACTTGGACTGAAATGGACTGGATTAAGATGAACTATTATTTGGGTCATAGCCCAACCTGCCCAATTCTTACCAAATTTTAATTAATGTGTATTATTTTATTATGATTTATTTAATTATCAAATAAGACTTTTTTTCCTTTTATTATGGTCATTATAAAATATCAACAAAAAAAAATATTTAAAGATATTTTAGTAAAGTTACTCATAGATCAATTTGGGCTAAAAATCAGGCCAATTTTAGATGAGCTGAGTCAAAATAGGTTGAGTTCAACGAATGCGCCTGTCAATGATCGGCCAATCAAGGGCGGATTGGACAGTTAAATAGTTTTGAGCTCATATTGTCCACCAGTCGATATTACGTAAAACTATATATTCAATAATTATGTTACACATCATGTTGTGAATCAATACATAATCGTTCATGAGAATTAATTAATTAATATCACCTCATTATGTATATCAAAACAATATTTTCTCTGATTTTTTGTTCTTCCAACCCTTCTTGCAATTCCATGCTTCCAGTGCTTGTTTTTTTTTAAAATTTCCAGGCTAAATTTCTCTCTGTTTTCTTTCTCTCTTTGTGTATATTTTGGTATATCTTCAATTTATCATTATAGGTTGGAGGAAGGTAGTGTCTAGCTAAGGCATACAAAGATTACATTAGTTCTGGTAGCAATTAATTAGGTGTTCATGAAAGAAACTCAAATTACACTGGCTATAATTGGCTGTAAATATATCCCTATGAACTCCTCTCTTAATCTTCCTTACAACTTAACCAAAAAAAGTTTTAAAAATGGCTATATTATCAACATCAGCTTCCTATTTTCTTATACTCATAATTTTGATGTCAAGCAATAAGCTGCTTTGCATCTCCCTTCCTCATAATCTTCTTTGTCCAACAGGGATTTCAAAGTATGCAATCCCAGTGTTCAGAGAAGACATCGATTTGATGCAATTCTCAGAGAATTTAGAGTTCTTAGAAGCAGAATATTACTTATGGGCTACACATGGTTATGGTCTTGATGTAGTAGCACCTGAACTTGTCATGGGTGGGCCTCCCCCCATTGGTGTACGCAAAGCAAATCTTGATCCTTTTGCTAAGAACATCATCTCTGAGTTTGCCATGCAAGAAGTTTGGCCATCTCAGGTTCATTCTTTCCTATGTTTAACTCATAAACATCGATAGTGTAAAAGAATTTTTATTATTATTAGATCACTTAAAAGATATTTATGATAACCATTCGTAAAAGAAAGTGATTTGAAAAATTTAGCAGATTACCTGCTACAATATATTACTCCCTCCGTTCATTTTTACTTGTTCACAATGGATTTTGCACGTCCCTTAAAAATTATAGATGATGTGTACATTTTACCATAGTACCTATAATAATGATAGTATTTTGAGAAGTCTTGGGAAATAATTTATGAAATGAGTAATTAATGATAAGGGTAAAATAAGAAAAAATATGGTCTTCTCTTAATTTGCTAAAATTCACAAGTAAAAGCGAAAATATATTTTTAATATAGTGGACAAGCAAGAATGAATGGAGGGACAAGAATACATTGAGATATATCGTATAACATTAACTTCTTTATACTATCATATAAGTTAAACTGTCCCAAGAACTCCTTTTCTCCCTCTTTTAAGACTTTGAGGTGTAATAATTCTTTTTTTTTTCTTCCGTTTGGTTGGTTTTGTAGGGCACTTAAATCGAAAGTAGGTCCTGGTTTTCCAAGACCATTGATGGATCTAAGTGCTAAACACTTTGCTAAGCTATTTGATGAAGCGTTTGGTTACAAATTGGAACCTCCATTTGATCCTTATAGAGATAGTCTCAATTTCATGTTGTCTTGCTATGCACTTCCATATGCTGCATTGGTTGGCTATGTTGGTACAAATTCCCATATAAAAGGCTATGAAACAAAGAGAGTAAGTCATATATATAAAGCTAAAGATTTTAATGGCCATATTTTAAATTGTGTTATTATGAATGCAGCTTTTGGCAGGACTACTAGGGGTTGAATCAGGGCAAGATGCAATAATCAGAATGTATCTTTACGAGAGAGCTGGCAAAGTAGTATACCCATACAAACACACTGTGGCTGAGTTCACAATCCACATATCCATTTTAAGAAACCGATTAGCAATGTGTGGAACTAAAGATGAAGGCTTGTTTGTGCCATGGCAACTTGGTGCGGAGAATCGGACAAGAACTAACATATTATCGGCCGATTGCGACTCGCTGGCTCAGTGGAGGAGTCCGGCAGAGATTCTTAGGATTGTTTATAACACTGGGAATGAGCATATTTGTGGTGGATTCTTTCCTCATGGTGCTAATGGCAACATTGCTAGAAATTTGTTAAAACTATAGTAATGACTACGTTCAGGAAAATTAATTTACATGCATTTGCTATTTGTAATATCAAAAAAACGAGTTCATGTCAGATTTTCTTACTGTCAGTATATAAAGTTGGGTTCCAGCAGTCAAAATACGTTACGTTGGTGTAAAGAAATGGACTTTAACATCAGTATATAATAAAAACTAACTCCGCTGTCCTACCAAGCCTAAAGTTGGAATTGAAACTAATATCTGCTGATCATCAACTTGTTCAGGAATTCAGCTTGCTCAGGAATGTATTCCTACAGTTCATCATATAAAATTTGTTGGTTGCAATAAAATGGGTCTTGGTCCAATGGCAGCTCTATTAAGTATTTAATAGTAAATAAAATGGCAAATCACCAATACGGTACCTGAAAGTTAAGCTTTCGAATTATTTTATTGGGAAAATGGCTAAATATACCCTTCTATTTTGATATATTGTTCATATTTACCCTCCGTTATACTATCAGGTCAAATCTACCCTCATCGTTAGCAAAATTTTCAAATTTACCCTCTAACCTAACGGAAAACCCCAAATCCCTTCTATTTACGGCAATTCTTCCTCACAGATCAGTCATCTCCTTCGTGTGATCCACCAGAGAAGAAAAAAGGTCCATATTATAGAAATGGGAGTGTGGAGTTACAACATAATTATTCCCCTTGTCTTTGGTTATGCCCAACCATAAATGAAACGCAGAATTCACAATTTATGGGTGTGTTTCCAACGGAATGAGGATGAGTGAAATACTATAGATAATTTGGAAGAGATTTATTTGATTCTTCAGGTGGTCGAAATGCATTCACTTATGAAGTTGTTACTAATATTCACTATTTTTTATGGACTACAGGCATAACAAGGCCGTAGGTATCCATGTAGATGCATTCCCTTTCGGATTTGGATTTAGCATGTCATTTGATGCAAATTTTGCTTGCGCAAGCACTTCTACATGAAATTTGTGACATATGATTCTTTAGTATTGTTCGAGAAATCCTAAATAAAATGATCTGTTTAAATTTATGTCCAGCTTCAGAACATTCTTTCAAAGGAATATTTACTACTAGTATTCTCATGCTAGGAGGTGGCAAGTTTGTTAAGTCTTCCTGCTCTAAATAATCAAGTGGAATAAGAAATCAACTTGTCGAGGATATTTTCTTATTTGGCATAGCACACGTAGGGATAAGTAATTTGTGAGAAAAAATTGTAGTAAATAGAAGAAATTTGGGATTTGGGGGCTTTACGTTAGATTAGAGGGCAAATTTGAAAACTTTGCTAACAGTGAGGATAGATTTGACCCGATAGTATAACGAAAGGTAAATATGAACAATATATCAAAATAGAAGAGTATATTTGGCCTTTCCCCTATTTTATTTGCTTAGAGACAAACATTAGTTAAATGATTTTATTTGTGATAATAAATAGAAAACATATGCGATTTTAGTAAGTAATTTCATCAATCTGTGACCAATTAAGAAATTAACTCCAAGTTGATGTTCACTTTAATAGTTTGATTATTTAGCTTCTGACCTTATTCTGGCTCCAAAGTTGTGATGACTTACTAATTTACCTTGAGTATTTATTTATAATATTTTTTTGGTAAAAAATAAATAAATAAAAAGATTAAGCCCACCAAAAATTAATATATTAAATTAAAATTAGCTTTCAGTGGTACTGGCAAATCCAAATATTCAAAATCACCAATAGAGTAGTGCTATTTGTAAAACATGTCCTGTTACAATTTTAAATTTAAGAAAATAACCTTTTTAGATCTCTTATGTATAAAAGACAAAGTTTAAAATTAATCTCTCATGTGTAAAAAAAAAAAGAGTTATATAAATTAAAATTAGCTTTCAATCAACTTGGATTGTATTTTAGGAGTAATAAAGTCCAATACTGTTAGCTTTGTGATAAATTCGTATCCCCTTACAGCTTGTTTGGATGATTGTTACTCATCGTTTTATAATGTATCGTATCGTACTGTATTATATTGTACTGTATCGTTTGATAGATACAATATTTGGATAGATTGTAATTATGATACAGGGTTAAATTACTATATAAAAAGGTAAGGTAAATGATAAATAAAATTATTTAATAATAATAAAGGGTGAGATTGAAAGAAAAAGACAAGGTAACGATGCGACCACATCAAATCGGTCGTTACATAAAGTGGCATATTTCGTCGTTATGTAACGGCGAATTTAACGATACGATACAATAAAATTTAAGTAACAATCAAAACAAACATTGTATTTAAAATAACAATACGATACAATACAATGAGTAACAATCATCCAAACAAGCTGCTAGATTCCAGTAGATCTAAATGACTACTATAAGCATCAAATTCAAATTGAATTATATGAACTGAATTCAAATTAATTTTTAGTCTGAAGTATAAAAAAAATTAGAAAATTATTACACTATAAACTTTGAGTATTGAGATGAACAATACATCAACAAGTTTGAAGTTAGATTAATCTAGTCAAACTAGAGATTTCACAAACCTGAATTAGCCGGAGTAGACATAACGGGAGCCAAAAGAAAAATTTAGTCAACTCTATGTCAAAATTGAGCTATTACGCTTACTACTTTGTACGACAGCGGAGAAAGTCGGGAAAAGAGAACACCTCTACATATACAGAGAGGGAATGGTGACAATTGCGAGACAATGAACTCACAGCGGCATTTCGTCAAACATTTGGTACACGGGACGAAAAACCGCCCTTTGCTCTCCATTGCTATCTCACTACAGCTCAGAATATGCCTCCCGTTCTCTTCATCGGCAACGCCCACCCCTACACCATTCCTAAATGATCGAAAGAAAAGCCTCTACACCTCGTTTTTCTGCACACTTGTCCATCTCTTCCTCCGCTGCCACCGCCTTTCAAGAGCCACGGAAGCTTTCTCTTCGATGAGAAATTACAATCTTGTCCCTGAACTTCCTTCTTGGAACAGTCTCTTGCACCATTTCAATTCTACCGGTCTGGTTCATCAGGTGATGGTCCTTTATTCTGATATGCTCTCCTGTGGAGTGGCTCCCAATGTAGTCACTCGCAATATAGTCATACATTCGCTTTGCAAAATTGGAAACCTTGAAAAAGCGCTTGAATTACTCATAGAGAATGAAAGTGACACCGTCACTTATAACACTTTGATATGGGGGTTCTGCAGAATCGGTTTTGTGGAAATGGGTTTTGGATTGGTGTCTGATATGGTAAAGAAAGGTATTTTAATTGACACTATCACTTGTAATATATTAATTAAGGGGTTTTGTGATAAGGGTCTTTTGCATAATGCTGAATTAGTGATGGAAATGTTGAGTGATAAAAATAGGGGTGTCTGTAAAGATGTTGTCGGTTTTAATACTCTAATTCATGGATATTGTAAGGCTGTTGAGATGAGTAGTGGTTTTGAGGTGATGGAGAGGATGAAAAAAGAAGGTTTATCACCGGATATTGTGACATATAATACTCTGATTGATGGTTTCGGCACAATGCGAGATTTTGATGCAACAGAAAAATGTATCATGGATGAACTCTTGGACTCGGGTGGAAGTAATTATGTTAGTTATGTTGATCATGAAGAAAAACATGATTATGATGGTGAAAATAAGGGCTTGGTAGTTGGAGACTTGGGTTTAGAACCAAATGCTATTACATATACCACATTGATTAGTAAATATGTTAAGTGGTTTCAATTTGAGAAAGCATTTGCTACATATGAAGAAATGACAAGGCATGGCTTCTTCCTTGACATTGTTACTTATAATTCCCTTATATATGGTCTTTGTAAATGTGGGCGGTTGCACGAGGCCAAGTTACTTCTTGACGAGATGAGAAGAGTGGGTGTGGATCCTAATCACATGACATACTCTATTTTTATTGATCACATGTACAAAAATAGGTCTGACAAAGTTGCTGCTAACTTTCAAAGTCAAATAGTGATTAGAGGATTGCCTTTCGATGTTGTCTTGTTTACCTCTTTGATGGATGGGCTTTTTAGAGTTGGAAAAGCCAAGGAGGCAAAGGGCATGATTCAGACACTCTTGAAGTTTAACATAACTCCAAATCATATTACCTATACTGCATTAATTGATGGGCACTGCAAATCTGGTGACTTAAAGAGTGCAGAACTGTTACTGCAACAAATGGAACAGAAACGTGTTTTACCAAATGTTGTCACATTTTCTTCTGTAATTAATGCTTATGCCAAAAGTGGAATGATTGATGCAGCCATGGAAATAATGAGGATAATGGTAAGCAGAAATGTAACCCCTAATGTTTTCACATATAATGCCCTCATTGATGGCTGCTTTAAGCTTGATAAACATGATATGGCTCTTTCCCTGTATGAGGAAATGCAGTTGAATGGTGTTGAGGAAAATGAATTCTTGTTGGATACATTTGTAAATAATTTGAAAAAACAGGGTAAAATGGATGAAGCAGAGGGATTTTTTATGGATATGGTATCGAAGGGTTTGTCACCTGATCATGTTAATTACACATCATTGATGGATGGACTCTTTAAAACAGGGAAGGAGTCTGCTGCTCTTCAATTGGTCCAAGAGATGAAAGAGAAAAAAATATCCTTTGATACAATTGCGTGCAATGTACTGCTTAATGGATTATTGGGAATTGGCCAGTATGAGGTACAGTCTGTTTATAATGAAATTACAAAATTTGGTCTAGTTCCAGATATTCAGACTTTCAATTCTATGATTAATGCTTACTGCAAAGAGGGGAAGCTGGAAAGTGCTGTCAAACTTTGGGGTGAAATGAAGAGCTGCGAGATTATTCCTAATTCAATCACGTGTAATACATTGGTGAAAGGACTTTGTGAAGTAGGTGATATTGGAAAAGCAATGGATTTGTTGAGTGAAATGGTAACAATTGGTTTTCAACCTTCACCAACTATTCACAAAATTGTTCTTGATGCTGCCTCAGGCCATAGAAAGGCGGATATAATCCTGAGAATGCATGAGAGGCTTGTCAGCATGGGACTTAAGGTTGATCAGGCAATTTATAACACTCTTATTGATGTTTTATGCAGGCTAGGGATGACCAGAAAGGCAATGTCAGTACTAGAAATCATGAGAGAAAGAGGATTTTCAGCTGACACTACCACTTATAATGCCTTCATTCGTGGATATTGCAAAAGTTACCAATTTCAAAAAGTTTTTGCAACATATTCTGAGATGTTGGCTAAAGGAGTTCCTCCTAATGTTGCTAAACACTATATTAGCATCTCTGTCAGCTGTTGGACAGATGAATGAAGCAACTGAATTGCTGAATGAAATGAAGGGGAGGGGCTTTGTCCCTAATGCTAATACATATGACATTTTGGTCTCTGGCCACGGGAAAATTGGAAATAAAAAGGAATCCATCAAACTTTATTGTGAGATGATTACAAAAGGTTTTGTTCCTCGCACTAGTACCTTTAATGTACTCATCTTTGACTTTGCAAAGGTGGGAAAGATGAGACAGGCTCAGGAACTAATGCATGAGATGCAAGTCAGAGGGGTTATACCAAATTCTTCAACATATGACATACTAATAGTTGGATGGTGCAAGCTATCAAAAAGTGTGGAGCTTGAAAGGTCATTAAAACTGTCATGCCGGGGTGAGGTAAGGAAATTACTTGAAGAGATGAAAGATAAAGGTTTCACTCCAAAAGAAACCACCCTTTGCTATATCAGTCCTGCCTTTTCGAAATCAGGAGAAAACAATGACACAGAATGGTGGTTGAGCAGATGGCACAAGACGAAGCAGAGTTGATCCCTTGAAAATCAAGATGTTTCTCAAGGATAGAATTTCTTTATTTTTTGGTTTCTCTCTCCTGAGTTGAAACATAAGGTTAAGTGATGTGGATGAGAAAAGCGAGCTGATCTGAAGAGACAAAGCAAAGGACCTGGAGAAAGAAAAATGAGAAATCAGGACAACTGTATATGCTTTTCAAGAATTTTTGTGAGTTTTTCTTTCCCAGCGCTCATGTTGTGTTTATGCGTGTTTTCCACGTCATGTTCTTCTATTTCCATTGTATAGGAAGTCAAAATGTTTTATATTCATTAGAATTAAGCTTTTCCGCTAATGCAATCTAACTACAATGATTTATGTTTAGACCAATAATTTACAAACTATACAAGTATACCATCAATCCTAAATCATGTAGATGGTAAATAGAAGTCTGTCAAATTTTATAATAGAATTACAAAATGTATTTATCAGTGTAGAATTTTCTTTTTCAATTTCCACACAATTTTGTGGCAACCTACAGCAGAAAATATGATAGTTAATTGGGGACTAAGGGGGTAATTTGGTATATGTGCTTTGCCAAAATAGTGCTAACAATGACAACAATTATGCCTCAATCCTAAAGGACCAAACTGATCAGGTCAACCATGTGCATTAACCTTTTTACTTTAGCTGGCATATTAATATGCTTGTGTAAATTCCATCTGCTCTTGTAAAAGGAAGAAAAAAAATTTGACATTGTTTTTCTAAATGTAGAACCAACATGATGAGCTTGAAGCAAAGTTTCTCGAGAAGGCTGCACTTGAAGCTAAATACCAGAAGCTGTATGAACCGTTGAATACAGAGGTGAGAAGAAGAATTTTTTTAGTTGTTTGTTCCATGTCTGCTTGTTGGAGTTGAAACTAGCTCTTTTCCTTCCAAAAAGACAAAAAGAAATATGGTTTGGCTGTCCTTTCATGTTTTATGATTTTGTGGATGTGTTGCACAGATATGAAATAGTAAATGGAGTTGTCAAAGTGTAGGGTCTTAATGAAGCTCCCATGAACAACCAGGTGGGAATAGAAAGACTGAAAATGATTAAATTTAGTTATTGTATAGTTTCTTTCATCCATGCAGATTGATCGATAGGCTTTGATTTTGTCATTAGTGCGAAAATTTAGTGCGGAGAAAGGTGTTCTCAACTTCTGGCTGACTGCAATAAAGAATAATGAGATATTAGCAGAGTAGGTAAATAACAATTCATGTAAATATTTTGTCATTCAAAATACCTATCATTTAACTGAGTGCAAATGACTTTGCTTTAGATCTTACAGTGTGACGAAGAAGCTTTGAATTGCCTCAAGATATCAAGTGGTGCAGTATTGATGATCGAAAGGGTTTTAAGCTTCACATCCTCTTGATACAAAACCTTTTCTCGAGAATTCTGTCTTGACTAAAACCTATCACATGATTGATGATGATGATGAGTATATATTGAAGAAGGCCATAGGGTAGGTTTTAACTTCTCGTTGTTTTGATTTTGTATCATGTGATCCTTTCTTGTTTGTTCATTGGATTGGGGAATCTTGGAGGACCGAATGGTATCCACATAAAGGCTTGAAACACGAGATCCTGAAAAGGAAGCCAAAGGGGTCAAAAAGTGATAAACCCATAATAAGGACTGATACCTTCAAAAGCTTTTCCAATATCTTTAATCTGCCACAAGTAGCTGAAGATGAGGATGACAACGATGAAAATGGTTGTAGGTTCAACAATTTTGATTTTGTTCATTTACTCTGTATGCGATGCAGAATGTTCTTGACCTGATTTCATGAGTGTGTCAAATGTGTCTTGACAGGGCCTGAAGATGACATTGGAGAAATTGCTGGTTTCTTATTAGCTTTGGATTTCCTTTTCAGTCCACATGTCATTCAATCTGTCAACAACTTCTACGTGTTCGATGAGTTATATGGTGCCATCCAGTGGCGAAGACAGTAATTTCCCCAAGGGTGTTCAAAATTGAAAGAAATAAAAAAAATTCCCCAACAAATGGTGTTCAATATATATTATATACCTCTAAAATCTAATATTTTACCTATATACATAGTTTAATTTTTCAACGACCAATTGACCACCCTTAATACAATGTAGCTTCGCCCATAGTGCCATCATTAGGAAGGAGTTAAGATTGGAGTGAATTTGATATTTCCATTTGGCCCTCCAATTTTGCAACTCAACAATTGTGGCCAAAATCATCCCCCGTGTTAGTGTCATGGTTTATGGTGAGGCTCTTGCAGGGGATGAATTTGAAGATATTGAAGAAGATGATGACCATTATGAGGATGAAGAAGGGGAGAAGAGCAAAAAATATGTGCTATTAGTTCGGCATGTTTCTACAGATGTTCGAAATTTTCGAATTTTGCCTTATTAGTTTTCTATTTTTGAAGATGCTGATAGTTTTTTGGGTCTGTCCATATGATGTTCTTCAGTTGTCCTTTTAGTCATCAGCACCAAAGGTGAGATGAATGGCTTTGGTGGCATTTTTCTTAGGTGATGCCGTAAATTGCCTTTCATTTTCTTTAGTACGTGACATATTTATTCAACAAAATTGTAGAAGAGTGCCATACCACGAGTTAGAGAAGGTCAGCATGGAGAACGTCTTCCAGAGGTGAAAGCAACAGTAGTTTGTCTTTTGCCCATGACAGCTGATGAAAAAAATTGAATTATGGTATGCGCTACTTACCTTAAAGGTGCATTTTATTCCTAAGAAAGTTGCAATATATGACACTCATTTTTGTTTCTTAAGTTTTTTCGGCAAAACTGAATGGTGAGTTTATGTTCCACATTGGAACAATGCTACCTAGCTCAGAGTTTACATCAGCTAATGCTGTAAGGAAAGTATCTAGCATCAACATCCAGCCTTGTAATACCTTATTTTTCTATCTCAGAGATTGCTCTGCTTCTTAAATTTCGAAATGGACGGATGTTTTCCTTCTCTTTTTTTTTTCTTTTCTGTTGCAGTAAAAGTGCCAATGCGATTGAGCATGCTTGAGTGAGAGGGCTTGCAGTTATACCACAGAAAATTTTCTGTGATTGGGATAAACCCCGTGTTTCTTTCCTGAAAAGGTTTTAGAATGGTTCCTCTTATATAGCTCCAGTTGAATGTCTACTCAGTTGATAAAACAATTGCTTAGATATTTCTTGAAAATGTGTATGTTGAGTGGTTCCACCTATGGTTTAGTTTGTCAATGAATAGAGCTAAACTTTATGTCGTATAATTCACAGTATAGCATGATCCCAGAACAATGCTTACATGACAGGATGTCATTCAGCTCTTTATTAAATTATTACTTCTCGAAGGTCTATTCATTCTTAGACCTTAGCCTATATAAACTTGTAATTTTAATGTGTTTATAGGTTTGGTAAAAGGAATTTAGTATCCTCTAGGCATCTAGAAATGAGGTAAACTGGAAATGTAGTAGTACAATATTAATAACTCATTGGATGAGGAAAAGGTCCTATTTTGGAAGACAGCTAATAAGTTCTAAATATTCGTTAAAGTCTAAACCGGAGTATTAGTTAGAGGTTCTCAATTCAATTTTCTTTTCTTTTTTTGCGACTTGGAGTACTTATATGTTTAAGTTCATTTTTATATTATTATATCGTTCTACAAAATAGTTCAACCAACATAGCATTATCAAAGTTGGAGGAAGGAACCAAGTTACCAAAACGGTTTATTAAAGTTCTATGTTTATTTTTAATCTGGTGGGTATTCTCTTTGATAAAAGTCAGATGTTAATTACTTTTATGATTAAAATACTTATGTTGGTGCAATTTTTAGTAATAATTTAACTGAACATACAGCTGGCTTTGGCCTTTGTTTAGGAACGCGCACACACCGACCCATCCTGTGATCTGTTATAGGACCCCACACCCATTATATGTATTTGGGTACAGAACGGATACTTCAGATAACGTTTCATTCTCCCATTTAACGCCGTTAATTTTCTCGCATACTTTCAATATTTTCATTTTTCGTAATACACGCTCTTTTTTTTAAAAAAAAACTGAATAAAATTTTCTTATGGTCGTTTCGAGACTGAGACTTCTTTACCGTTGCGTTATTTGAAAATTGTTATCTTGGCGCCAGTGCCAAAGCCTCTGGCTCCTTTTTGTCTAAAACTAAAATATGAATCTATTAAACATCTGAATGAGTAATAAAAAGTGAACCTAAAACGGCCATACACTATGTATGACTATGACTACCTTAAAATTGGTTGTGCGTAACACGCATTTTGACACGTGTCTGACATATATATAGTTAAAAAGAAAAGCACCTAAAAATAAAATTACATCCTTAGAGTTGATTTTAGTTGGGTGGAGTTTTAATGCATTGTTAATTTATTGATTTTTCGGGCGAAGCTTTCAACCGTTTTTTACCCTCATTTAATCTCCTTGAGTATAATTTGTTTAATTGTTTGTCTGAAACTTTCATTTCTAAAACTATATAACGAGTATTACGTGTTATCTTACATAGATAATTATATAATAATCAACGAGAATTCCATTTTACAAGGTAAGGATAAACATGATACGAAAGAATAACAACCAATATATTTTGTTGCCAAATTTTACCGCAGGGAAAAGGTAAGGCAACTTTTAACATTTTCTCCATGCAATTTTATGTTATAAAACGAAGTAGCGTTGCAGCAAAGTTTTATTTTGAACAAAATCAAATTTAGGAATGATTTTCTTCGGAAGAAAATACTTTATTACTAATGGGGTTTGAATCTTTTGTATAAGGTAAAATATGTTCATATTAAATGATCGTGTGAAAAAGCGACACGTGGAGCCGAAGACAGAAAACCGTCAGAACCGTAGGCAACGATCTCATTTATTACCAGAGAGAACAATATTCATAAAGGCGAAATAAATGTCTATCACCTGGTAGCATTCAATGAAGAATATTCTATAGCATTAAGTGCACGATCCGTTACGGAGAATATGGCATTCACTGCTTTCCATTATATATTCTTCAATGGCATTCGTAATTGTTAATTAAGAGGGGCTTGATCCTAGGACTTTGTTCCCTAGGTACAACTATAAATAGTAAGCTCCACCATCATTATAAGGGACACAAATTTTCTGAAAAACTCATGCTATAATCAATCCAAAGCTCTATATATTTTTATATTCTTAGTACTTGATTCGATCATTATTGTGCCCGGAAGTCTTCCTCTCAAAATCCTTATTTCTGTTATTTTATCTTCATTCCAAGGCTAAGTATGACATTTTTCTTCAATTATTATATTATTTAAGGATCAAATTAATTTACTTGTCTAGAAACCACGTATAAATTCAACTGTACCATTTTACAGGTAAACTGTTTGACACCCACCGTGGGGCCTAGATAGTCGTGTAATTAAATTGATCCTCGTCTCTTTTACTAACGTGTTCTGATTAATTGTCTTAGCAAAAAATCACAAAAGATGGTAGATAATGGTGTTAACAACACGTACAATCCTGAGGTTCAAAGAGACCAGCCTCGTCATGAGGATTCAGTCAGTGACACCCACAATGAGGGAAACGATGCTTCGCCAGTCCACGATAGACGGTATCCACGACATGTTCGGGAGGCGACTCCCGATGATGCGGAAGCGGAGCATGTTGTTGATGTGGTGAGGGTCTTACAAGAGCAACAAGTAATCATTCTAGGCCACCTCACACGCAGGATCAGGTTATGACGGAGTTGAAACAAGCATTGTCGGGGGCTTCTAATAATACGAATAGGCGAGATCCAGTTCCTCCCGACACTCCCGCAAATCAAACAACACAGAGGGTTGACAACAACACCCCCAGGGGCGGGGCCAGTTTCGATGGAGCTGGGGGGAGCAGATCCAGCCCCAATAACAAAAATGATCCTTTCAAGAATGAACTCCTAAGGTTCATGAGAGAAGTGAATGTCCGCATGGACCAAATCCCAGGTGCGCCACCGGCGCTAAAAGGTCCAGACTCAAAAAACTATAGTCAGTTTTCATACAAACCAATCACGGCACTTGAAGTGACTTAAAATGCTCGACGTGCGAAAGTACGATGGAACTTCAGACCCTCAGGAGTATACTACCACCTATACAACAGCGGTGAAGGGGAATGATTTAGCTCTTCATGAGATTGAATCTGTTTTACTAAATAAATTTGGAGAGACCCTCACGAGAGGGGCTTTGATGTGGTATTCGCTATTAGCCGAGCACTCCATAGATTCATTTGAGATGCTTGCGGATTCTTTTATTAAGGCTCGTGCCGGGCCAGAAAGGTCCAGGCCTAAAAGGCTGACATCTTCAGGATTGCACAAGGAGATTTCAAGTTGCTGCGGGAGTTAGTTACCCGGTTCCAAAAGGAAAGGATGCTACTTTCAGTTGTTCTGGACGAATGGGCGGCTGAAGCATTCACCAAGGGTTTGAATCCGAGAAGTTCATATGCTTCCCAGAAACTGAAGAAAAGCCTGCTTGAGTTCCAAGCGATGACCTGGGTGGATGTTCACAACCGATACAAATCTAAGATAAGGATTGAAGATAATCAGGTTGGCTTCCCGGCGTCGGTAAAAGGTCAAGAGAAGAATAGGGAAAAGTTAAAAGATGATTTCAACATAGATGGACGACCTTCAAGGAGCGGATTTTTGCCCTACAAATGGGAGAAGAATAGGGAAAAGTTAAAAGATGATTTCAACATAGATGGACGACCTTCAAGGAGCGGATTTTTGCCCTACAAATGGGAGAAGAATAGGGAAAAGTTAAAAGATGATTTCAACATAGATGGACGACCTTCAAGGAGCGGATTTTTGCCCTACAAATGGGAGAAGAATAGGGAAAAGTTAAAAGATGATTTCAACATAGATGGACGACCTTCAAGGAGCGGATTTTTGCCCTACAAATGGGAGAAGAATAGGGAAAAGTTAAAAGATGATTTCAACATAGATGGACGACCTTCAAGGAGCGGATTTTTGCCCTACAAATGGGCCAAAAGACGCAGCAAAGGTTCCCGATCGGCCGACAGATTCACCACCGACATAAGAACTAATCACGGTCAGAGCAATAGATCATTGAAGGACAAAGAAATGTCAGGTACGCGAGATCCCTCTTATCTCTAGGTATCGTAATACAATTTCAATGTCAGTACAGTGGAGTTGGTATTAGATATGAGAAACATCAAAGAAGCATGGTTTGCGAAGCCGATGAGGTCTGATCCATGCCAAAAAGATCCCAACATATAGTGTGAGTATCACGGGATAAATGGCCACCGGACTAGGGACTGCCGACACCTTCGGGAAGAAGTGCCAAGTGATCGGGCCAAGAACAACTACAGTCACAACCGGGATAACGCGGAACCCTCGAAAGCAGGAGAAGATCCTTCGCGCCAGATAATTAACATGATTTTTTGGGGGAACAAGACCAATGGAATTGCTTTCTCGGTAGAAAAGAAGACAAATGTATCAATAACCCATAGCGAGAGACTCCGAGAAGTTGCCGATGACGACATTACTTTTACGTAGGAAGATGCAAATGGATTGTTTCTACCACACAACGACGCATTGGTAATTTCTTTAAATGTTCTAGATTTCAAAATCAAACGTGTTCTAGTGGACCTAGGAACCTCAACCAATATCATACAATGGAGGGTGTTGAGCAAGCCAAACTCACCGAAGCATTATTCCGGCCACAAAACTCCTTGCGGGGTTCAACCTTGCAAGTGTGACAACTGGAGGAGAGATTTTGTTACCCACGAATGCCGAAAGAGTGATGAATACG